ACCCCCAGAGTTGTCCAGTACCCTGAAAAAGTTGGGAAAGGCTTATCTTTCATTGGCTAGAACCCCCACTGTGTTCCCCCAAATATTGTAAGGTTCCAAGCACACCTCCCCATTCCATTTAACAATCAGGTTAACTTTCACAAAGGAAACTTTACTTCAAAGGCATAAAAAGAACAAATATAGAAATATTTTCCCAAATAGAGGATATAATATTCCCTACACCACTTCACTCTCTGGAAAGGGGAGGGAGATTATGCTCACATTTTAGCTCAGTTCCTACATAGTATTAATTACACTTCAAGTCTAAAGGTCTCCTCTCCCACCCCCCACCAGTACGCCAGGAACCTATATTGACTGCAACATCCAATCATGGTCCCGTGGCTCAAGGTTCCAGGTCTAGGACTTCATTCCATGCACCTAGAACTGAAAAAGACAAATGAAACAGACCCAAACCCAAAACTCATTTCTCAGAATCACAATATAAAGGAAGGAGAAGTAGCCCTCAGGCCCTTCCCATTTATTACCCGATGTCTCCAGTGTTTAATGAATGAGTCTTTTACTTCTGTATACAGTCAATGGGAAAGAAAGCCATCGTGCCTCAGTCAGGTAGATTTAAAGAACCTACAGCTCTGGCTAGTGGAAATAGGCTATGTGGGCCCAACCATGCAGGAGGCTAGTGCAATAGTGTTCATGCCTACACCTGTTCTCCTGTCTCCAGAAGCAAGTCCCTGGTATCTCCTACATGAAAGCCTCTGTCACAGGTGATTTGGCCATACTCCAAACCCATGACACCCAGATTAGTGTGAGTTAATTCAATCACTTTACTTTTCTCCTAACACTTAAGAAAAGTTGTTACAGTGAGTTTTGAGGTAAAAGAGAGGAAAATCAGGAAGGGAAGAAAGTGTGTAATTCAGGTTTCTGAATTACGAGATTTCTGCTGTTGAGTGGTTTCAATCATGTCTGACCCTCTGTGACCCCATTTGGAGTTTTCTTGCCAAAGATACTGGAGTGATTTGCCATTTCCTTCTCCAGTTCATTTTACAGATGAGGAAACTGAGGCAAAGTTAAGTGACTTGCCCAGGGTCACACATGTAGTAAGTATCTGAGATCAGACTTGAATTCATGAAGATGAGTCTTCCCATTCTAAACCCAGTGCTCGATACACCGCACTGCCTAGCTGCCCCAATTTCAGGGGTAAGAGAGGGCTAATCTGGGTGTTTCAATGAGCGACCTTGGGTAATACATATAATGGCACTAAGAGCTTGTAGAGAGAGCATTAGGAGTTTGGAGGGGGTTTACAAAAAAGGGAAGAAGTACTATGCCAACACAAGAAAGAAGGGGAAAGAAGAAGGAAACAAGCATCTATTAAGTATCTACAGTATGCTGGGCATTGTGCTAAGCACTTTATAGATATTATCTCATTTTTGTCATTTGATCTTCACAACCACCTATGTGCAGTGGGTGAGCTATAGCCCCATTTTACAGTTGAGAAAACTGAGCCAAATGACTTGCCCAGGAAAGAAGAAAGAATTTCTCTTCCTCTTTCTTCCTGTACTACTAGACTTCCTTATTCCAAGGAACCAGATGTTAGGTTATTATTTTTAGTGCCATAGTCTATCTATGTTACAGATTAAATAGACTTTTGTGGGCTGGCCCATGAACCTGAACCCTATTTATAATATAGTTTCTATGACGATTTATTAGGCATTGAGATGGCATTATGCACCTGGAGTCCAGAAGACCTGGGTTTGAATCCTGCTTCAGATCACCTGTGGCAGACTGACTCTGGGAAAATCACTTAATTTTTTTGCCTCATTTTCCTTATCGCTAAAAGGATTGGCGGGGGGGAGGGGAAGGTAATATTTGTTTGTTTGTTTGTTTGTTTGTTTTTTAGAAGTAATCAGGGTTAAGTGACTTGTGTAGGTATCTGAGGCTGGATTTGAACTCAGGTACTCCTGACTACTGGGCCAGTGTTCTAACCACTGCATTGCACCGACTAGCTGCCCCTTAAAAAGGGCTTTAATAATAGAACCTACCTCATGACACATCTCAGTTTCTTTATCTGCCAACTGAGAATAGTAATAGCATTTCCCTCAAAGGATCTTTAAGATCAAATGCAAGTGGGGTAGCTAGGTGGTACAGTGGTTAGAGTACTAGCCCTGAAGTCAGGAGCATCTGAGTTCAAATCCAGCCTCAGACACTCACTAGCTACATGACCTTAGGCAAGTCACTTAACCCCAATTGCCTCAAAAAAAAAAAATCAAATACACATCTGTATGAAGCAAGTCAGTGGGAAACTATGAATTATATAGACAGGTGTTAATTTTAGAAGCGAGAATATAGGATCATAGGTTTTGAGCTAAAAAGTAGCTTAGAGATCATCTACTCCAGATGAAGAAACTGAGGCCCAGAGAGGCAGAGATACTCTGCAAGTAGCAGAGACAGGATCTGAAACATGGTCATCCACCTCCAGATCCTGTTCTTTCTACTGATTCAGCAGTAAAAAGAAACAGATGGCCTCAGAATCCAGCCAACACGCCATATTTCTTTATCTCACTAGCTGAAGTTAATGTTTATAAAGTAGCCTTAGGCATTGGCCTAAGGTCTCCCATTCCCTACCCCCCTTTCAGACTGCCTCCATTTACCTCTGATCCTTATCTGTGCTGATGCTGTACTTATTTATGCCCACATCATCAAAATTCTGGGTTTGCAGGTGGCACCATCCCCAGCTTCTAGTAGACTGGTTGGCTTATCTGACCAGCGAGCATTGGACCCTACTCTTGAGTTCTTTTCAGCAGTCACAAGATCTGACAGAAGGAGTCTGACCTCCATCCTAATGGGCTTAAGTGACTAGCACCTTATAGTCCACCAGAACTGTCATGAAAATACTATTAGCAAGTAGCTTAGCAAGGTTATGGGCATTGACGCACTTAAGATCGCAGGCTTTATGCCACATGCTGGGTATGTCAGGCTCCACTGACCAAGTAGACATGGTATTCAAAGAGGAAGCCCGTGAACTGAGCTAGTATTCACCCATACAACACCCAGCTCCAACAAGCCATCACAAAACCAGATCCATTGGTTATATGGGGGAGGGGGGAGGGAATGAGGGGAGGGTATGTCAGAGATTATGGAAGGAGCAGAGCAAATTTCCAGACACAAGTGGTGAAACTCACCATAAGCATAATTAAGACATGAAAATCTAGTTTTAAAATGAACACACAAACACACACACACAATAAATTAGTGAATAATTTCCTTTTCAAGAGGACGGTTCATTTTTATAAAGGAATTGTCTGTTTCAATATAGCAATTCCTTCTCTTGAGAAAAAAGCTCAGTACCAATGCTCCATTCACCATCTGTCAGTAGCTTCATCTTTATATACAAAGGATCATAAAATGTCAGTGAAGAAGGTTATCTCGGAGCAAGGGTGTGCTGGAGCCGGCTCCTGCCAGCTCCTTAGAGGTAATGGTTAAAAAATTCAGTGTGAGTATTTGCCTATGGAAATTAGCAAGCGCTACAAATCAAGACTTGGTTGGGCTAGGTTTATTGTCCTGTTGAACCTCTAGACTTAAGAAAATAATGGAGAAAATGTTAACAGTGCAGACCAGTCATAAAAATATGTTTGTAACATTTTGTTTGACTCAGTTTCCTTGTCTATAAAATAAGTTAGAGAAGGAAATGGGAAAACTACTCCAGCGTCTTTGTCAAGAAAATCCCAAATGGGGTCATAAAAAGTTGGATATGACTTAAACAACTGAACACAATAAAAATATATTTTCCGAGAGCCAGTTGTTAAAGCTTTATCAGAGCCTGTTGTTAAACCTTTATCAGGTATATCTTTAATGATATCCTTAAAAAACTTCAAGATTGTATGACTGATATAGAACAAATCCAATCATTGCTCTAAATAATGGCACTTTAAACACTATCTTCTCTTTTCCATGGTAAACATACCAAGTTCTTTCAACCAATTTCCATATGGCATAAACTCAAGATCCTTCACCATGCTGAGAGTAGGGATTGTTTCTTTCTTTGTGTTTATGTCAGTTATCAGAGTATCTAGCACATAATAAAAGCTTAATAAACGCTAGGTAACTGATTAATCCTGGTTCTCTAACACTCTCCAGTTTATCAGTTTCTTCCTAAAAATGTGGCACTCAGAGCTGGTGACCAGAACAGAGTACAGTGAGACTTTTACATCTTTGCTAGTCCTTAACACTACAGAGCCACATTCTCATTCATTTTGTAATTGTGGAGTTGGTTTTTTTTAACCAAAGTGAAAGATTTGGCATTTATTCCTAGTAAATTTCCTCTCATTAGTTATGAGACCCTTATAGCCCCAAATGTTCAGAATATAATGAATTGTAACCTATTTATGATCAAAGTTAGCAGCTATTGGTATTTTTTTTTTGCCTTCATGATACCTAGGGCCTTAAAGCATGATTTAGATTACTGTTGTTTAATTTTTTTCTTTGTTAAAATTCATAATGAAAATGGACTTCTTCATGCAATATATCTGCTTTGGTCCTGTTTATAGTAAGTAAGAAAATCTCAAGCGTGAGTCATCTTTAGTAAACCTTTTCCAGGCATGAAAAAGTGGAAAGAATTGATCTTTGGTCATAAACAGTCTTATTTTTCTACCCTTGCCCTTTTGAAAATGACTCCACATGTGTGACTTACAAATGTAGCCTGGTAGCTTGGGCTGAAGAGCTCAGTATGCCAAACTGCTGGTAATGGGTCCTACTTGCCAGTACAAATTCAACTGTCCTTTGCAGTTCAAAGCTAATGGGTGTTGATCTACTTTAGTTTAATTAAATTAATGGAATAGAAACATTACAAGTTTCATTAAATTTTTTTTTAAATTTAGACCTAAATTTCCCTCCCCTCATCGCAAGTTTAAAATGAATACTCTCTGTGTATTGAGAAGCAAAAAAAATTCCCTGTGTTTTTATTAACACATAAGGGACTTCAAAAATGAGAACACAGTAAGAGCTCCTCACATTATTTTTTCTTGTATTTTAATGTGTACTATTCATTAATACACATTATATATTGGTACATCATCCTTTTAGGGTGTCATTCTCTTTCTCTTCCTCATTTCAGGATGTGTTAAGATAATCCTTGAGTTATTTCTCCCAGCTCATGTGTTTTATGAAGTCTATAATTTAGCAAAATGCATCACACTCATTAGTAGCTCATAACACTGATGAGGTCATGGAGTCCATTAGCAGTCAGAGAGCACATCACAGGTTCATCAGAGTTGGAGGCAGAAAAAATATCCGTTGTCATTCCAGAATTGTTTCTGTAACATCTCTTATTAGTCCAATCTCACTAGAGATGATAAATATCTGAAAACCTCCTCCTTCTGTTTCCACTGATCTCCAGGAACTGGTAATGGAGGTTAGACCAGCGCATCAGCTCTGAGCTTCAACCACACACAGGGATGAAGTCACTAAAACAGGTTGTGTTCCACTGGGGCATCATTTAATCCAAGTGGTAGCTGCTCTCTCCAGGATTGCGTTCTCAGGGCTGGGTAATGAGGCTCTGGGTTTTACATCATTGCCTTTGGTAACTCTCTCTACCCTCCAGAAGATGCATTTAAGCAGATTCCTCTCATCTTTATGGAATGATAACATAATTTTTCACAGTAGATTCATTTATCCTATGTATACTTCCCCAAGCAGTCCTTCATCCCTCAGATTTCCACAAACATATTACAAAACCAACTGTCTAAACCTGAAATCTATAATGAAATGAATTCAGACATTTTTTCCCCACCTTATTGACACACAGGTAAATATAGTGGCATTGTCCCATCTGGAACACCTGGTGCCTATTTCAAAGCCCTATCCATACCCAAATCCCACCGTATCATTTTCTTCTCATAGTCATATCCCATGACTGTTCGTAAAGTCCAACAAAACAAAATTCTTCCATACAATCTCACCCCCACATATAATTTGATTGGGAATGAATTTCTGAACAGATAGTCTTGATTTTGTTGTGATACACGATAAGTATCTTGAAATATGAAAGAAAAACCAGTCCAGCATTTCCTTAAGAAAAATCTACCAGTCCTCCTAAACTAAAATATTAACAATTACAATGTTAAATATAAAGAAAGTATGTGACTTCTATGTGGTCAGAGCACGGTTAAAACAAAAACTTTTTCAAACTATCAAATCCCTTCATTCAAAGGGGCCTTTTCTCTGACCTTTCCTATCTTGCACCTATACATTTGTTAGGTTGAGGCAGATTTTGAGGTTGAGGTGGGGCAAGGGGGAGGGAAATGGAGCTACACCAGTTGTTTCTTGACACATTGGACAGTTAGCCACATATGCCACACAAAAATCCAATTGACCTGGATTCCTCCAACACTACACTTTTCAGTCAAGTCAGCTAGTTCAGGTCAAGGTTGAGCCTGAGTGATAACCTTACAAAGTTGAACCTGCCTACCCCTGAAAAAAAAGTTTTAGAAGTCCCTATTTCAGAATATGATAAAATGATCTTAAATAACTTGGGGTATTATCTTCATGAAAGAGGCATGAGTGGCCTGTAAAAGGCCAAATATAACCGGCTAGAGATGGGAGATGGTTACTTCCTATCCAGACAAACAGGGTGGAGGAGATAGAGGTGTGTTAGCCGGCTCGCTTCTGGATAGGCGTCTGTGTCAGGATCGATAGGCGGCATAGTCCCTGGTTGGGGCATAAGGCTGATAATGTTTTTTAGTTGGTCCTGGTCTCCGAGGAGTCATGTTCATGTAGTCACTGTGAAGAATTCTGTTTTTTTTGCTTTTGACCTGTGGAGGAGAAAAGGAGAGTAGGAAGGTTTCTCAGTGTATGCAAAACATCAAAAACTTGTCTTTGTGAAAACTATCAGGGTATTACCTATAAGATAAAGATAGCTACCAACAGTCCTTGAGAGTGTTGCACACAGGGGAATTTTGAAAAGAAAGTAGGCAGAAGGCTGAAGTGTTTTGTCTCAACAACAAATATTGAAGGCTACGTCTAGCTATGTGAGTTTTTAGAATCCACCTCTCTGGTGCCCGCCGTGAGGCTATTTCCTCACAACAACGTCTACTGATGATTCATTTGTTTTTTATGGTACTTGCTACTCCTCCACTGAAATTCTGCTCTGATGCCTAGATGATGTGGTAGATGACTGGGTTCTTGGAGACTATGTTAGTCAAACTCAAGCTCTGGAAGGCTGAAAAGGCTGTGAATATGCCTGTATGCCTCCCGTTCATGAACAGGCTGCTCCAGTTCAGAAAGGCTTAAAAGCTAGTCTCAAAATATGAATCAATTTTTGTGGAGTATTAAAGTCTAGTGCCTGTCATAGCATATAGGCATCTTAGTCTTTAATGGCTCTCAATCATAATAAAGACCCTGTTAGTGGGATTTTGCCTTAGGCTGTAAGAGGTTACCACTCTAAACTTGGTTTGTTTGGAGGACCTGTTCTGTACAAAAAAATACAAATGGCTTCCACAATGTAAGCAATGTAGGAATATTATTCTTATTTCCTGCTTATAATAAACAATGACAAGCTGCATGGTGCAGTGGATAGGGAGTCGTCAGAGTCTCTTTCAAGTGTGTCTCTGACACAGACTAGCTGTGTGACCCTGGTGACCAGAACAGAGTACAGTGAGACTTTCACATCTCTGCTGTAAAGCAGGCACTGACTTGAGACTTTTAATGGTGCCTCATATCAGTTAATTCACAGGTCTAGTTTTAATTTAACTGTAATAACTCATAAGCTTTGAGATTTACAAAGCACTTTGCAGAGTGGTATAGGGAAGCTGGTCTCTGCTTCCTGCTTAGACGCACTAAAACTGAACTAATGGACTAAATGACTACTCTCCCACTGGGCAAGTAGATCCAGGATTTCACATGGAATCTTCTTTCTATGTTCTGTAGTATATACATAAATTCTCTTTCTTTTTGTACTTAAGCTAATTTTTTTTTTGCTGTTTTTAAGCTTTGTCATGATTATGTAGTCCAAAATGCCATCACCATCTAGGACTAGTACCTTGATACCTGGCATTATGGCCTTGCAATTGGCAAGGATAGAAATATTCAATATATTAGACCTCTAGCAAGTCTATAATATGATGTGGTCTGGGTGCAGACACATTGTGAACAAAAGATCTAGGCTTAGTTTGGCCTGTATAATTCCCGGGGTATGCTATTTGAGGTTGTGCCCCTATAATTTTTTAAAAGTTCATGAATCTAATATTTTAAGATCTATGGGGATAGGAATTGGTGATCGAACCATTACTTCAACAAGTATTTGTCTATCTCCATGATAGCCTCATATACAGCCAGAACCCTGCCCAGCAAGACAGATTGGTCTGAACTGTCCCTCAAAACTATACCAGAACTATTATAATAGTTCTGGAGAGCTAATAATAATAATTTCAGCAGGAAGATATTGAGTCTAAAAGCACGTAGAAGGTTCATATAGACCTATACAAACCAGAGGCTTTGCTAAATAGAAGAACCCTGCCTCAGCCAAAGACCAGCAGAGATTCCTCAGCTTTTCAGAATATTATCATGCCTTTATCCTCAGGCTTTTTATCCTTATGGCTCTTCTCACTGACTTGCTAAAATGAATGTATGCTTTTTAGTAGACACTCAAGGCCAGAGAGAAATCCAGTTATCTAAAGAACTCTCATTTTATCTACCATCCATTTTGCTCACCCTTGTTGCAATGGACTCACCTCAACCTCAGACTACAAGTCCCAAAATTTTGCACATAATTATTACTAGTAGAGGGACAAGTTGAGTACTTCATTCAAGAGATCCTGGTGAAGGTGGGGTTAAAAAGAAAGGAACCAATTTCTAATGAGAGACACTATTGAAGTAGAAATGAGAGAATTTGGCACCTGATCAGCCATCACAGGAGAAGACAGGAAAGAAATAAGGGTGACTGTGGAGTCTAGATCAGGAAGTTTGGAGAAAGAGATGGTTTGAGGGAGGAATGATGATTTCTGTTTTGGACATCTTGTACTTAAGCTGTGAATATTTGGTGAAGTATACAACAAGCAGTTAAAATTGAAGACTGAAGCTGAGGTGAAAGACTGAGGCAGAAGACAGCAGATTTAGAAGTCATCAGTGGAGCAACTGGAGCCGTAAGAGGAGATGTCACCACCAAATCAATAAGACAACAAGCATTTCTAAAGAAAAGTGAAGGCCAAGAACAGAGACTGGAACACTTTAAGGTGTTGGGACACAAAAGAGTAACCATCAAATGAGACTAAGAATGAGTGGTCAAAGAAGGATAAAGAGTGTCCAGTGTCCCAAAAGCTAAGAGAAAATAGAGTTTCAAGGACTGGCCAGGCAATTATGTGAAATGTTGTAAAGATATAAAGAAGAATAAGAATCAGGAATAAGTCATTGGATTTGGTGATTAGGAAGTCATAGATGACCTTCAAGAGAGCATTTTCAATAGAGTGAAGAGAGAATGAGATATTATAGTGGATTAAACAGTGAGTGGTTAATGAAAAAACAAAGGCTTCAATTCTCCTCCTTTGGATTCCATGACATTACTGTCCCCTGATTTTGCTCCTACCTGTTTAACTGTTATCATCATCCATCTCCCACCTGCTAAACATAGGTAGCCCCCAAAGTTTAGTCCTGGATCCTCTCATCAGAGAGAAGCATTCCCATGGTGATCTCATCAGCACCTACTGGATTAATTATCATCTCTGTGCAGATTAAACCTATATCTATACATCCAATCCTAATCTCTCTCCTATTACCTTCATTACCTGCTACCTGATAGACAGTTCCACTATCCACAGATGTCCTGTTGGCATCTCAAACTCAACATGTCAAACCAGAACTCATTGTTTCCCCCTCTAAATCCATCCCTCTTGCAAAATTCTCTGCTTTAAAAAATTATTACAGGTTTATATTTTTAGTTAACAGGAATTTATTTTCTCTCCCTCTAAATCCCTATATCTCCTCAAACCAGGAGCCTTAGGATCATCCTTGACACTTTTATCTCTCCCTCACTCTCCAATCAGTTCCCAAGTCTTCCCCAACAGAGAGATCTTAGATCTGTCCCCTTTCTCTGTTACACTACTAAAACCTTAAATAGTGCCCAGACTATTTTAATGACCTAATTTGTTGCTCTATTTTTAGGCTTCCTCCTTTCCAATCAACCCTCCACTAATACTCTTTCTAAGGTATAGTTCTGACCGTGTCACTCTACTGAAAAACCTTCATTGGCTCTAGGATAAGATGTAAACTCCTTAACCAGACCACCTCTAACCTATCTTGCTGTCTTTATTTCACACTTCGTTCTATGTTCTCTGTGTTCCTGTCAATTTGAACTACTAGCTATTTCTGCACCCAACATTCCATCTCTCTCTCTCCTCCATCCATTCACCCTAAGTTCAGAATACACTCTCTCCTCATCTCCTTATCATCCTTCAAGGCTTAGCTTAGGGTTACCTTTTCTCCTCCCCATAGTTGTTAGCATTCTCTCCTTCCTCAGACTGATTACCTTTTATTTATTTATCTGTGACCTCTAGTAGAATATAAGCTTCTTTTGGGTAGGGGCTCCATTTTGATATTATCTTTATATTTCATGAACCTGGAATAGTGCCTTCCACTTAATAAATGATTATTGAATCAATAAATGGATGAATGAATGAAATGTAAACTGCTCTTTGGAGAAGTTTGACTATGTGACTCTTTAATCCTTTAGAGATCTATAATTTCATTTTTATGGGTTCACTCTTTACCAACACAGAATGAAGCCCCCCTGTAATTTAATAAACAGTCTTTAAGAGTTGCGATGGACAAAATAATTCACCATCCTGTGGTTAACTTGGCAAGAGGCCTTTCTGAATTTAGTTATGCTGGTCCTTGGATAATAGACATAAAACCCATCTCAACTTCCTTACAGTGAACTTAGGAAGTGAGGCTATAGCCTCCTGAGACACTTCTTAGTTTCAGGCCAGCTTCCCATTTGTCCCATCTATTTTAGGGCTCCAGGGACAGGCCCATCTGTTGTCTTCTTGCTGTCAGAACTCATAATCCTCCTGGGGCCCACTTTGGAACAAACCTGGGATGAAGGGGAATTTTTCCCTACTTTTCTGTCCCATGAGGTTTTCTAAGGGTTTTTATTGTTAGAAACAACAGGAAAACTAGCATAAATTAAAATTTAAAAAAAAAACAGAAAGTTACCAAGTTACAGAAAGCCTTAGAAGTGATAATTATCCCAGGCATCAGTGGAAAGTAAAAGGAACTGGGCCTGATCCTTTTTAGCTTCTATCTTCTATTATCAACCCCTCTTTCTGTTCCAGTCTAAAAAATCATTCATGCCCAACCCCTCTGTATTCTTAATGGATTAGTGAATAAGATTGCACCTAACCTTTCAAATACTAAAAACCCTGAGATTAAAGCAGGTAAGTGTCAGTGCTGAATAATTTGCCCACAAAGGCTCAAATGAATAACACATCACAGAGGTGTACCCTAAAGAGGAAAATCTACATTAGTTGACCAGATTTTAATATCTTCCTGCTTCATTTAGGAAGGTCAGCTTGGGTTATTTGCTGACAGAGATAAGACAGTAAGCCATGGAAATAAGAGGGATGCAGGAAGGATTTTTTGAGGATGGGGCAGAGATTCTTAACCTGGGGTCCATGAATTTGTTTGTAAGAATATTTTAATAACTGCATTTCAATATAATTAGTTTCCTTTGTAATCCAATGTATTTCTTTGTAGACATTTCAAAATGTTATTCTGAGAAGGGTCCCTAGGCCTCATCAGACTGTCAAAGGGGCCTACGACA